AGCCGACAATTAAACGTGATTGCCCGCGCTATCCTTATCAACAAAAATTTGGTGATCTTATGGAAAAGCATCGGATACCATCAAATCTGTAATGATGTAAATGACCTGGTTATGCAAGGAGCCCTCCTAATTCTTTTCCCTCCTACTCCAACCACTGGTTATCGTCGCCCCGACAAAGAAGGAGTAAAAGAGAGACTCCGCGAACTTATCAGTCTCGGATTCAATTTGACTTACCCTGTTATTGGAGACATAATGCAACTTTTTGAACCTAAATTATCCGATATCGGTAACATTCTTCTGGAATCCTTTGACGAAATCAAGAATGACCCCGTCAATGAGTTCATGCATAGGATCCTAATAGAGTCAATTAAACCAGAGCGCAATTTTAAGAAATACGACATATGGAAGTTCTTAAACCAAAAATTGGGAAAGATTTATGATAGAAAAGATACGCAAATCAATACTGGTAATAAGGTAGCGAAAAAGATGGATGACCATTTGAGCACGAAAGGAAAAAAACGAATTGGCAAGTTGGAATTTCAAGAAAAGGCATTTCTAGATGTCATGGATAGATATATAGGAAATACCAATAAATCTACCGGAACTTCTTTGATATTTACACCTAAATTTTATGAATGGGTCTTGGAAACTTTTGGAGCTGAAGCTAAAATCACCAAGAGGTGCTTTGATGATATTCTCAAGACGCGCGTTAATATTGATAAACAATTTATACAAACTCCAGATACTAAGGTTCAAGAATGCACCTATGAAGCTATATCAAACATCTGGAATATTTATTGTAATAAACATGTATCTTTTGAACATAAGCACACGCAGCATCTTTCTCAAGCAGCGCATGAAGATATTCTCGATCCACTATTCAAAGGCTTCCTATGGAGACTATTTAAATTAGATCCGACCCATGATCACGAGGCGGTCACTCCCTCAACAACCAAAAAACGGCATGATGACTTAAGAACATTAATGATATGGTACGGTTGTCTTGTGAATTTGAAAGATCATCTGATGATATCTGGTGATAAATTTGCAACAAGAGAGTTTAAACAATCATTGGAAACATTTTTGGATGTTCTTGAAAGATCCGAGTTTAAAAAAGGGAGCAAGAAAAGAAAACAGAGATTAGTGATAAATCAATCTAGAAAGCGACGAAGAAAGAAGGTTTGCAATCTGTCTTCCGTTACTTTTCTTAAATGCAAATACTAAAGACTAATATAATGTCTGCAAATCTCTACAGGAAACATAGATTTTTTCTCCGGATCTATGGCTCAACAAATTTAGTCTACCAACCGAGAACCTTATCTCTTATTTTTTTTTTTTTGACAACTTAACATTTTTTATAACATACAGCATAAATATTCATTACATAATCATCGTCAACTGTTAATATATCATTAGGTAGATAGACCCATTTTCGATATTCTTGAATTTCTCCGATACTTTATTATAACATTAATGGTAATTATGCATAGAAACGCTTTAATATTGTACAAATAATTTATTTATGTCTTGTAAATAACCGATCATCACCTGATTGAAATGTGGTATGTAAAAACGACATAGGAATGGGTTTTTGAAAGTATACACTGCGCACAATAAATCCATAAAATCTTATAACTTATATTTTAATCGTATATTTATAAAAGTTTATGTAATTTAAATCTTTGTAGTTAGATTAAATTAGAGATTATTAAATATTTAATTTAATAAATAGCATATAGTGCATACTGTATATCTATAGATAATTTTAAACGAGTAATCTAACCCACCAATTATTAAAAATTGAAATTATTATTTTATTAATAAAAAAAATCAACAATTAATAAATATTCAATGTATTGTACATTATTTAAAAAATATAAGTTAAAATTTTATTTATAATTAAATATTTAAATTCAATAAAACTTAAATAAACATTTTATATTAAAATATACTGTATACAAAAAATCAGAATTAAAATTTTTTATAAGTTGATAATTGTTTATTCAAATTAAACAAAACTTTAAATATATGTTTATTAAGATTTGAAAATAAAAATACAAATATTTTATTAATATTTTATTTTAAAATAATTTCTTAGAACAATTATTACTTTTTTATTAATAAAATTAGATTTAGAAATTATAATTTTTATATAAAATTTTAATTTGTAATATTGATTTTAAAAAAATTTTTAAAACAAACTTTTTTAATTTTATATATTCTATATAGTATATAATTTGACTTTTAATTATAATTATTAATTATTTAATTTTTTTTGATATAATAACTTTATAATATAAAGAATATACTAGTTTAAAGCAATTTCAATTTAATAATTGCTTAAAAAAAGTTATACAATTTATTATATAGAGGGTAGACAAAGTTTATGAACAATTTTAAAAATTAAAAATTAAATTAAATTAATAGAAAATTAAATAAATAAAAAATATATTTAA